CAAATCCGAAGTCCTTTAATAAATTGACAAAATATCTATTGAATGTCCTTATCGTCAACGCTTCCACACCTGAAACACACTACGCTCTCGAGACGGTTCGGGTTCCTCATGGGAAGGTACATAAAATTATGTGGTGGGGAAAAAAGAAAAAGGATCTTCATCTTGTGGCTCAATGCACTGGGGACCTTTCGAGATGTCATTGCAGGAAGTGTCTTGATCATTTGATGTTGGAACTTCCAACTTGTTCTCATGGAAAAACCGGAGCAATGGTTTATTCTGAGAGTTGCTGGGTAGTTTTGTCATTAGAAAATACTTACTTTAGCATCGTCCCAATTATGGGTGAGTCCCCTACTGTGCTATAAATGTTAAATTAGTCAGACAGAGTTACTGTGCTCTATACAGTAACCATATATACATATGAAGTAAATTACAGACCATGCTAAATATGAAGTACTGATGGAAAATACTTCGAAGTTTTATAATAATGACTTGAATACGGATGGAGCGGCCAGCCTGATTCGCCTCATTGCCATTGATTCCAGCAATCTGAGAAATGAAATTAGAATATTTATTATGTGCAATTTGATGATAATTACTTCAAAAAGAGTTGGGATTTTATAATTGACCAAAAGATGTTAATTAAGACAAAGACAAGACATAGACAAGACCCTAAACCAAGAAAAGCTTGTCTACCATCTCTCATACTTTTCCATGTTTACATATCCATGTTTTAGGGAAACACAAATCCTGGAAACTCTCTATGTTTTGTGATCTTGTTTGTAACTAATAATTAACCTTGTACAATTGTATATATCTCTCCATGTTAGTAATACAATGGTAGATTGGAATTCTCTGCAAAACCCACCTTCTTACACATTCTCAACTCTCTAAACACTATCTTAAACACTATCTTTGGCATGGTATCAGAGCAATCGATTTTGGTTGCCTCTGCATAACCTTGTTCTATCTTGTTCTTACCTTGTTTTTTGCATAATCTCTACTCACCCTTGCTCATACTTTGCTGCTAAATTGTTCCTATCTCATACTTTGCCTTGCCTTAAAATTGGTTGTGATCACAATCCTAATTTGTGCTCTTGTTTGTTGAAGTTCTAAGCTTGTTTGCTTAAACCTTGTCTCTACTTAACCTTGTCCCTGCATAATTCAAACTTGTGTTCCTTTGGTTACTTTGTTCTGTTGTACCCCTATTGTGTTCTTGAAATCTTCCGCTGCATTTACGCATCCATACTTTCACACAAGACCCGCAACATGGCACCCAAGACTGCTTATGTCATGACTACCGGTGAGTCTCCATCTCCTGCCTTACTCTCCGACTCCAACCTCGACTCAGGTACACGCTCTACTACATGGATAATTGATACTGGTGCCACTGATCATAGGACTTTTGACTCCACTGTTTTTTCCACCTTATCTCCTAAATCTCATTATCCTTACATCACTAGTGCCAATGGGGCTCCTTCTAATGTTGCTGGAGAAGGGACTATATCACTTTCCCCTAAATTGTCTTTACCTCATACACTACTTGTCCCCTCTATTAAATGCAATTTGTTGTCTGTTGGGAAATTCCTTGACTCACATAATTGTTATGCCACATTCTATCCTTCTCATTGTAAGTTTCAGGACCTTACGACTCACGAGACGATTGGGCATGGTAAACGGAGAGGGGGGTTGTATACCTTGACGGTCTCATCACCACCACGAGCTGTCCATGTTCAAAACTCACGTGCTCAACAACAGATTTGGCTATGGCATCGTCGCTTAGGACATCCATCTTTTGGCTACCTTCGACGGCTGTTTCCATCTTTATTCCAAGGCTTAGTTGATTCTCAGTTTCAGTGTGAAACCTGTGTGTTGGCCAAGGGCCATCGCACTGTATTTCCCTCAAGTGATAGTAAAACAGAAGTTCCTTTTGAGTTGATTCACTCCGATGTTTGGGGCCCTGCTAAAGTCTCTTCTACTGGCAAAAGATGGTTTGTTACATTTATAGATGATTGTACCCGCATGACATGGGTATATTTGCTCACCCATAAAAGTGATGTTACCACCACAATCCGCGAATTTCATGCTATGATCACCACTCAGTTCCAAGCATCCATCAAAGTGTTTCGGTCTGACAATGGTGGGGAGTATGTGAATGGTGCCTTGGCTCAATTCTTCAAGGACCAAGGTATCATCCATCAAACCTCCACACCCTTCACTCCACAACAAAATGGTGTCGTCGAACGGAAGAATAGTCAATTACTTGAAGTTGCCCGTGCCTATATGCTTGATAAATCTGTTCCTCACCACTTATGGGGTCATGCTCTTCTCTCTGCAGTCTATGTGATTAATCGGGTGCCTAGTAGCGTATTGAATTTCCAAACTCCACTAGATACCTTGGCTCATCACATTTCTCTTCCTACCATTCTCAAGTTGCCTCCTCGTGTGTTCGGTTGCGTTGTTTATGCCCATGTTCCTTCTCATCAACGGAGTAAGCTAGATCCGTGTGCCCTCCGATGTGTGTTCGTTGGATATGGCTTGAATCAAAAAGGATACAAGTGTTTCCATCCTCCTACTCAAAAACTCTTTGTCACTATGGATACCACTTTTCATGAAGATTTGGCCTACTTTATGGTTTCCAAGACCCCTTCTCTTCAGGGGTAGAGGGGGAGTGAAGAGAAGGACTTGACATTTGAAGAGAAGATCAGAAAAAATGCTGAAAAAAACGGAGAACCCCAGGCGACCGGTCGCCACCCTACTTGCGACCGGTCGTTTTTACACAGAGTTGAAGATTCTCACGAAGTGCCCCAGGCAACCGGTCGCGACACATTTACAACCGGTCGTTTTTACACAGAGTCGAATAAAATTCAAATTCCCCAGGCGACCGGTCGTAAAGAATCCAGCGACCGGTCGCTTTTTCACATAGTTGAAAATTCTGAAGAAAATGATCTGTCCAGTCCTGACCTCAGTGAAGACCTTGAAACTATGGAACCAGAAGGTGATCCAGATGCCCCTGATGATCAACTACAAAATACAACCCCTCCTGCCCTTCCATCGCATCATTCGTCTAGTGATGAAGAAGTACTTGAGGTAATCATTGAACCACCTAATGTTGCACCATATACATTTCCACCTAGATCCACTAGGGGAAAACCTAAACCTCAATATTGTCGGTGGATATACACTGTTAAATACAAAGCTGATGGATCCATAGACCGATACAAAGCTCGATTAGTGGCCAAGGGATATACACAAACATATGGAATTGACTACCAGGAGACGTTTGCACCAGTTGCCAAAATCAATACTGTACGTGTTCTCATATCCTTGGCTGCAAATCTTGACTGGCCACTACTGCAATATGATGTAAAGAATGCATTTCTTCATGGGGACTTACAAGAAGAAGTATATATGGATCCACCACCAGGGATTCCTATGACATCCGGTCCTAATACCGTATGCAAGCTAAGAAAATCTCTGTATGGGCTAAAGCAATCACCCCGAGCCTGGTTTGGGAGATTTACTGATTCCATGAAGCGATTTGGGTACACTCCGAGTAGCTCAGATCACACATTGTTCTTAAAGCGTCGTGGTGGAAAGCTTACGGCCCTGATCATCTATGTAGATGATATGGTGGTTACCGGTAATGACAATGAAGAAATGCATAATCTACAGAAGCTCCTTGGAAGTGAATTTGAGATGAAGGAACTGGGTGAGTTACAATATTTTCTTGGCATTGAGGTTGCTAGATCTAAACATGGCATATTTTTATCCCAAAGAAAGTATGTGTTAGATTTGTTGACAGAAACAGGAATGCTGGATTGCAAGCCAGCTGACACACCTATTGAACAGAATCACAAATTGGGAATGTATCCAGATCAAGCTCCTACTGATAAAGAAAGGTATCAAAGGTTAGTTGGGCGATTGATTTATCTATCCCACACACGCCCTGACATAGCTTATGCTGTGAGTGTGGTAAGCCAATTCATGCATCAACCAAGTGAAGCACACATAAATGGAGTAATACGGATAATGCGATACTTGAAGACTGCCCCTGGAAAAGGATTTATGTTCTCCAAACATACACACATGGATCTTGAAGGATACACTGATGCTGATTGGGCAGGGTGTATCACGGATAGACGCTCAACTTCTGGATATTTTACATTTGTGGGTGGCAATTTAGTTACTTGGAGGAGTAAGAAACAAAGAGTTGTAGCAAGATCCAGTGCTGAAGCTGAGTTTAGAGGAATGGCTCAAGGAGTATGTGAATTGCTTTGGTTGCGAAGATTACTAAAGAATCTTGGCATTAAACAAGTGAATGCCACAAACCTATATTGTGACAATAAAGCTGCCATCGAGATAGCACATAACCCAGTATAACACAACCGTACCAAACATGTGGAAGTTGACCGACACTTCATCAAAGAGAAACTAGAAAGTGGTATAATTAAGTTTTCGTTTGTAAACTCGGAAAACCAACTTGCCGACATTCTAACAGAGGCCGTATCAAGTAAAGTTTTCTATGACTCACTTGACAAGTTGGGCATGCGTGATATCTTTGCACCAACTTGAGGGGGAGTGTTAGTTAAGACAAAGACAAGACATAGGCACTTCCCTAAAACAAGGAAAAGCTTGTCTACCATCTCTCATACTTTTCCATGTTTACATATCCATGTTTTAGGGAAACACAAATCCTGGAAACTCTCCATGTTTTGTGATCTTGTTTGTAACTAATAATTAACCTTGTACAATTGTATATATCTCTCCATGTTAGTAATACAATGGCAGATTGGAATTCTCTGCAAAACCCACCTTCTTACACATTCTCAACTCTCTAAACACTATCTTAAACACTATCTTTGGCAGAAGGAACTGGAGGGAAAAACAAAGTAAACATGACGAGTTAACTTAATTACCAATGCAGCAAGAAGAGGTGGATGAGAATGGCAGAGCCCGTCCTCGTCATCATCAGTTCTGACTCTATTTCGAGTTTGGCTGGATCAAAACTCCGTCTTGTCGTACAAACTGATGGTTAATTTTAATGTTTGGGATGTGAGACGTCTTGTCCCACAGCTTGCCTCTTCCTCAAAATCTTGTTTGAGAATCGGCCAATCACTGATTTCCAGAAACTTGAGTGGTGTCTTCCACAGTAAGTCCGGCAGTGTTTTCAGCTTAAGGTTGTTCCACAATGTTAAGGAGGAAAGAGATGGCATTATTGTAATTTCAGAATGCTCTGCTCCTCCTTCCCATTCTTCACACTGGACATCTTTAAAAAAAGTTGTTTCAATTTCGGGAATGAATGATGATGTTTGCTCCTGCACATCTAAAAGCTCAACTCCCACCTTTTTCACACCAAGCATCCGACTTATTTCTAAAATCTCAAGGGACGGCAAATTCCACAAAGAAGGCAAAAACTCACAAAAGAAATTGGTTTCAAGAGCTAGCCTCCTCAAATTATGTAACAACGGCATCCATTCTGACATGCCAGCTGGTGCCATGGTAATGCAGGATGGTTAACTCTTCCAAATTTCGATGTGGTTGTAAGGCATTCAGGATTTGTCCATCCCTCAATCTTTTCTCATAATTTTTATCTACTGAGAAAGACAGATTCAACTCGACCAGGAGTTCCTTCTTCACCAATGGTGCCTCACTCAGAGTGTTTATATTGATAACAGTACCATTTCTCACACCAGAAAACCCAGCACACCCAAACACCAACCAATTACTCTACACACCCATAACAACCTGCCAGCACATTCTGATAGCAAGGACAATGGTTGATGATCACACCGTTCATTCCATCATATACATACCTAGCACCCTTTTTGTAATTTTATGAGAATTCTAGAACAATCTCTGATAAGTGTATATATATACTCACTGTGTAACAAACAAATATTCAATAAGAAAAGAGCCTTACCTTTATCTTATCAGTCTGTTTAATTCTCTTCATATATCACTCAACCCATTTATACAAAGACTCCCTCGAAGCTGGTCCATGTTTCTCAAACTTCCCAACTTAAATGTTGTTTCATTGTTGTCAATGTCACCATAGCCATGGCCTCTTCTGACAGAAACATAATCTAGTCTTTCCAGACTTGTTAATCTCTCAATCTCTTTTGGTAATTTTACACTACCAGAGAGGTAAGTATAAAGATGCTTCAAGTTAATCAGCTTTCTCATAGTGGCTGGTAATTTTACAAGAGACTTGCAATTAATGAGACACAAAGTTTGCAGATTGTATAAATTACCAAGAGTATCAGGCAATTCTTTCAAACAACTATTTTTCGATAGATTGAGATAACGCAAATGAATGAGTTCACCTATAGCTTCAGGAAGTTCTTCAATCGAGTTTCCCTTCAAATTTAATGTCCTAAGACATTTTAATTTTAAAATTAAGTCCCAGCTTATTGTCTCAACGTTCAAATCACAAGCTAGGAGAGTGCGTAGCTTTTTGTATTCGCAAATTGAAACAGGCAATCCATTATAAGGGGTTGATGTTGCCTCTGCCCCCCTTATTACCATTGCTATCCTCCATAATATAACAATCGTTTTTTGTGAGAAACTGCACAAAATCATGTATAATATCCTGCATTTTGCAGCTCCTAATGCTCGCCCACCGATCTTTCTTAAAATCTTGGAAGAAAGACTGCATTGCTAAGCTATCGGAATATTTCTGATCTTGTCTTTTTCACTTGAACCAAGATAATCTTGTGACATCCACATATCAATCAAATTATCTTTGTCAAACTCATAATCTTTGGGAAAAACACCACAATATAAGAGACAACGTTTGGTCATCGACATCAAATCATAATAACTTAGTAATAGTGGTTGGAAGACTTTTTGTTCGACCTCTTCCAACCATTCTCTCCTTGTTTTCTTAAAGCGCATTAGGCCCAGTTTGGGATTGCTGTCACTTTTAAAAAAAGTTGCTTCTGCTGTGCTTTGAAAATAATTAGCTATAACGTAGAGCAGCTCCATGTTTGGTAAACAATATTTTTAAAGTGCTGTTAGTACAAAAAGCAGTGTAAAAAACGTTTGGTAAATTTTAATATAAAATTGTTATAACTGTGAATAATGACTAAAATAGACATGATGTTAAAAGTGTTATGTACTAATCATGTGGTGGTAGTTGTAGTGATGGAGTGGAGGTGGTGGTGGTGGCGGTGGCAGTTGCAGCATGGTGGTGGTGGTGGTGTTGGTTGTGGAGGTGGTGGTGGATTTGGAGGTTTTGGAGGAGGTGGTGATTGTGGTGGTGGTGGTGGTGGTGATGGTGGAGGAGGTGGTGGAGGAGGTGGTTGATGAGGTGGTGGTGGCGGAGGATGAAGAGGATGAGTGTTCGGTTCATTTTTACACATGATTTTTCATGTTATTCACCCACTATTTTGAGTTAGTTCTTGACATTTTATAGCTTTTTACTTCCTTTTTGTGTTTTCTTAGATTTTGCCTTGGTTGGGATGAAAATGAGCTAAAAGTGCATTATTAGTTATAAATTCTGTTTTTGT